GTTACACATGGGAGGGCTCTGTGGGTGGGGGAAAGAATCACCCGAAAGTCATTTTTTTTAAAAAAGCATCAAGGAAAAAAAAACATTTCCAATATAGCTTTCATCTGTCTTCTGAATCATCCCTTCATTGACTAAAAATCTCCATTTCTTTATCTAGTCTTCAACTGACAAGAACTCAAGGCCTTTCTTATCAATGACCTGTCCAAGGGGAGCACCCAGAACAAAATCCGGTACTCCAGGTTGGCACGGTCGGTCTGCTCAAGGCAGAGTACAAAGGGACTGTTTCTTTATTGCTAGGAATTTTACTTCTTTCTGCAGCCCAAGACTTAATAAGCCATCTCCCAACAAGGCTCTGTTTCCTAACACAGAAGAAAGCTACTCGCCTGGGATGGGGACCCTAGGCAGAATGGCCTTCTCAAAACAAAACCTTTTCTCTGGCCTAATTTAGTGGCAGGGCACAGGGCAAGAGATTGGAGCTGGGAGACTGGCCTAGTCCAAACCAGTCATTTTACAGGTCACACGGGAGAAAAGGAAGCCACGTCAGAATTCAAACCCAGGTGGTCCAAATCTTGGATGCCCTCCATTACACCACCACTGACTGCTAAGTCTGATTCCCAGCCCTCTCACTTACTTGCTATGGGGGCAGTGGGCATAAATCCCTTTTCCAATCAAATTCCCTCACTGGTAAATTGGGGATGAAACACAAATACCATGTATCTGATCAGATTACTGATTTTGTCGGATACACTTACTGCTTTATAAAACACTTTTGTCATAAAAGTGAACTGTATTTATTAAATCAGCATAAAGAAGCAAGCTTGAGGAACAGACAAGGGATTGTATGAAAAAACCTACCTCATCTTGCAAGTAAGATAACTGAAACCCAGAAAAGGAGGTCACTGAGGTAGGAAGGAATAATAATAGCAAGTGAAAATGGGAGAAATTGATGCAGATGAAACACAGGAATAAATGAGTGACTCCTCTGCTCAAGGGGCGTCCATGGCTCTCCATCACCTCCAGGACGAAATATAAACTCCTCTGTTTAGCATTTCAAGTCCTTCCCAGGGGCAGCTAGGTGGCACAGTGGATAGAGCACCCGCCCTGGAGTCAGGAGGACCTGAGTTCAAATCTGACCTCAGACCAAGCACTTGACACTTAACTAGCTGTGTGACCCTGGGCAAGTCACTTAACCCCATTGCCTAGCCAAAAAACAAACAAAAAAACCAAACCAAAACAAAACAAAAACAGAAAGGGGTAGACAACGGACTTTAGTTCAGACCAAGGCCACGGGGAAAGATCCTCATCATTATACAAACAGCCTATGACATTCCTCAACCTCAGGCCACCAAAGCCCCCCCCCAAGTACCACAGGAATTATTCACGGTTTCTGCTAACGTTACAAAGGCAAAATGTGATCAGAGCCCTAGCCAGCTCCACTGAATCACAGTACCTGATGCTCACTTACTCAGCCCATGGAAGGTTAATGACCCATAGGTTTACAGGAAGAGGAAGGAGGGATTAAAAAAAAACAACTCTTGGAGGAGACACAATGGAGCATCTGTTCCTGCAGGGTCAGGAAGCCCTGGATTGGAATCCAGATATTTACTAGCTGTGTGACCCCTGAGTAAGTCACTCAACAATTTTGGGTCTCAGTTTCCTCATCTGTAAAAATGAAGGGGTAATGGATTTTATTCTTCTTACCTTCTCGGTGGGTTGGAAGAGGGAAGGGGAGGAGGAGAATTTGGAACTGAAGATAAAATAAAACTGAATTTAAAATTTAAAAATGAATATATAATAAATAGTAAAATTAAATAAATAATGAGATCTGGACTAGATGGCTTTTCATATCTGTATCTCTGAAATTAAAGGTCCTTCCCAGGTATAAATCTATGATTTCATTCCACCTACACAACGAATTCATCCTCAGCCCTTGGTGCCTGGGGCCCCCCAGCCAGAGAGGAAGGACCCCAATGCTTCCTTCGGATGGGGACCCTCTCCTATCTCTCACCACCCTCTCAGTTCCCTCCCTCCCAATCAGATGTGAACAGAAGACTCTCAGGGGGAACAGAAGCCCCTCAGCTGAAGGTCTTAAGGGGAGCGGGGGAAGGAGAGCCCCCAATCCATTGGGGGTCTTTCTCTTCTTCATTCCCAGTTTCTAGGTTTTGACTGCCAAGATCTTAATGTGAAAAAGTTTTGCTCAAGACTAGAAAACTGAAGATGTTAAAGAAAGAAGGTGCTCAGACCACCAAGTTTTGCTCCTTTTTGGACTATTCCATACCCTGGTTGTAGGCCTCAATTGTAAAATAACCTCATACCTACCTCGAATGGTAGTAATGAGGAGCAAATTAAATACTAATTGTCAAGCTGTTAGCACAGTGCCTGGCGTACACAGCAGGTGCTAGATAAATGCTTATTCCTTCTCCCTCTCATCCTGCTGGCATCCTGGGCATCCTTTCCTGGGCCTGTCCACCCAGAAGTCTGAATTCAAACTGTTCCTGGTAGGAACACAAAGCTCTCTTTGCTGACTCACTGAGGTTAGGCATCCGCTTTTATCTCACAAAGAAAATGTATAAAGAAGCTGCATTATTTTTCTAAGCCAAGTATGCACATTACCTGTTTCAAGAAGAGCATTTCCACTCCCACCCTTTCCCTTGGCTTCTTCTCTATAAACAACAAAATCTATACATCAGATGGTCTAAAATACACAGTGATTTCTCATACTTGAGAGAAACCAGGGAGGGGAAAGATCTCTCTCAAAGGTTCCTTCCCATTTCTAACACGGAACCAGCATAGTCCAGTGGAAAGATGGTTGGATTTGGAATCAGAGCACTGGGTTCAAATCCTGATTTTGCCTGTATATCTTAGGGCAAGTTGAAACTGCTCTGTATCTAAATTTCCTTACCTGTAAAATTAGGATATTAGATTAGGTGGCTTCCAGTTCTTTTTTTTTTTTAATTTATTTTGATTTATCAACAATCACTTCCATATGCTTTTGAGTTTAACATTTTTCTCCCCTTTCCTCCCCACCACCCTCCCCAAGATGGCGCACAATCTGATATAGGCTATACGTATACGTTCTTATTAAACATATTTTCAGATTAGTGATGTTGTAAGTAAAAATTAGAACCAATAGGAAGAACCACCAGAAAGAGGAAACAAAACTCAACTGGGCTTCCGGTCCTGACAGCCTATATCCCTATCTACGATCAGACTGGGGAAACTGCAGCATCCCTCTCCTAGGGCGAGGAAAAATTCTGTCCTTGAGAGAGCCAGCATTCATACTGTGTGCCTGCAATAATTTCATCTCTTATAAAATCTCAAACTCGGATACTGTCAACATAAAGTCATTTCCTAATTTGCTAAAATGCTGATTTGCTAAAATGCTGATTGCTTTTTCCTAAAATGAGCCACCCTCTACCAGCATCTTCCTTCATTAGGCAAATTGAGCTCTTCTTTCAGGGTGCCAGCTTTCAGGGAGAACTCAACAAGAGAGAAGGTAATCATATATAATTCAAAGAGTTGAAAGCGACCTTGGAAGCCTCCTAGCCCCAAACCCCTCTTTTTCTAAAGGAGAAAAATGAGATCCAGAGGGGAAATGAATTGCCCGGTCACACTTTTTTTCTTTTGAGTCTCAACTGGTGGTTTCATTGAATGGAGGGGGAAGGGGGTTAGTTCAGGTGGAGACTATGTCTCCACAGACGAAAATGGCCCAAAATTTATAACTTAGCATCTTAAAGAGTTGCACACAAAAAGGTGGAGTGATATGCCCAGGCACCACTTGAATCCAAGGCCTGCCCTCTATGCCAGGCTGTCTCTCACACAATTACCACAGCCTAAATTAGAACCCAGGCTTCCTGACTTTCAATCCTGTTCTATTAGATGTCAGGCTGAGAAATGCTAAGAACACACCTTGGATCAAGAGATCAGACTACTATTATGATGAGTTGCGGGTTGCGTCGGGGCTTTGTTTTTTGCTCATTTTTAAAAGCTGAGCTCTGCTCTTGGGGTAGGGGGTACCGTCCCAAGCAAGCTTCTTGCACTGCGGCCAGGGGGTCTGGTCACTGGCTCTCTGTACCAGGGTGGCCCCAGCCTAGTCGTGCCTGTTGAGCCCTGGGCTCCGGCGCTGGCAGTTTGCCCGCTGCACTGGGGCTGGAGGCCTCCCAGCTGGCCTGCTCAGGGCCTGGGTGCTTCTAGGTGCTGCCTTACCGGACACCACCACTTTTACCCAAGAGGGACAGACCTTCCTGAAGTCCTTCTAAGTAAATTAATCGTTTCCCCCTGGCTTTTCGTGGGTTCTCTCGCTCCATGTAGAGGCTTGGTTCAATGTTTCCATGGGAAACTGGGGAGAGCTCCACTGCCTGGCTTCTCTCTGCCCCACCTGTTTTCTGTTTCTTGCTTTTCTGGGGTGGGGGTGGGGAGGCTACGATCTCTTGGGTCTAGTTTTCAGGACCAGGCTGACACGATTTTCCCCCACTGGAAAGTCTACTCGGACTGGCCGGACAAGCCAGGGACGCGCCTCCTGCCCCAACGATAATCAGCTACAAAGAGAGACAATGGGGGGTGGGGTCCCTTCCTCTGGGAGTCATAGCCTCGGGGGCCATCTGCCCAAGGTCAGGGCCTTCGGTGGGAGTCAGGGGTGCCGGCTTCCACCAGTCCCGCTCCCCCAGGGACGCCCTGCCCGACCAGCCTCCCAGCCCCGGAGTCGCACAGGGCAGAGTGCAGCCCAGGAGCGCGCTGGCGCGGTGGGACCCCCTGCGCCGGGGCCGGGGCCCCCAGCTTCACTCCGGGGCGCCTGCGTTGGGTCCTGCCTTCGTCCCCCAGTGCCCCGGGCGCCCACTCTGGACCCTCGCCCTCGGCCGCCACCCACGCCCCGCGTCGGCACGGCCGGCCCAGGCCTGCCCCGCAGAACGCGCCCCCCGCCGCGGGGCGCCCCGGCCCGGCCCGGCCAGGCCCCCATCACCCCGGTCCCGGGGCGCAGAGCCGCCAGCCCCCAGCCTTACGTGAGCGGTCAGAGAGGCTGCCGCGGATCGACGCCGGAGCGAGTGAGCGCGGGGAGCTTCTCGCCTGCTTTTTGTTCCAGGGTAGCGCCCTCCTTCGCCCGCTGCCCCAGACTCCCAGGGAAACCCGAGCTCCCGGCCCTCCCCCCGCCGGGCTCCGCCCCGAGTCTGCTCCCCTCCCCCGCCCTTGGGCAGACAACCGCTCCCTACCCCGCGGCGGCTCCGGGCGGGGCCGTGGGCGGCCGCGCGCTGCCCAGCCGACGTTGGTGCTCCGGCAGGACCTGGGGCCGTGCGGGCGGGGTCGGCTCCGGGGGATGATGCCCCCCTCCCCCGTCCCCACCCCCGGGCAGCCTTAGCGACGCAGGGGGAGGGCCAGGCAACTTAGCTGTCATTTCACCTGTGAGTCAAGGATGTCGTAGCCCTGTAACGGATGGTGACCAAGCCTCCGGCATCCGGCCGCAGACCAAGCGGACAGCTGCGGACAGCTGCGGACTGCTGCGGACAGCTGCGGACTGCTGCGTCCTGGCCTCAGCTTAGAGGTGTACGCGGCTCGGCAGAACCCTTTCAGGGCCTTTACAGACACCTGGTCACCTGCGCGGACCCGGGCATCAGAGGGGGGCTGTCATTGAGCGCCGGGCTGGTCCTTTTCCCTCAGCAAGTGAAGCTCGTGCTTGGCCTGGGGCAGTTTTTATACAATTGTCTGGAGATTGAGCCAGGTCTTCCAACCTGTCCTGTATCTGCCAGTGCACCATCTACCTACCTACCTCACTGGTGTGGCCATTCCTTCCACAAGAGGCGCGTCTTCCCATGCCTTAATTTTCTTTAAAAGGGCTTTATATGGGGGCAGCCAGGTGGTGCAGTGGATAAAGCATCAGCCCAGGAGTCAGGAGGACCCGAGTTCAGACCTGGTCTCAAACACCTGACTAGCCCGGTGACCCTGGGCAAGTCACTTAACCCTAATTGCCTTGCCAAAAAAAAAAAGTCTTTATATGAATCACTATAGCCAAAAACAATCTAACTGCATTAAGTTGTAGAGCTAGATAGCACTTCAAAGGCCATCGAGTAAAATGAGACCCAAATACCAGAATCACAGAGGCACTAAGTGCCAGCACCTAGTTTCAAGCCCAGATCCTCCCAGTCCAAACCTAGCACTTGCGATATACAAGGGTATCAGAGGAGACCATAAGCTTTTGTGCTATGTTTGTCCTTGAGAGGTACTGGCCTGTCCTTGAAAAATCCATGCAGAGATGGGAAAGGACCTCAGTCATAGATTCAGATCTCAGACACTTAAAGGTCTAGTTCACACCATCAATTTATAGATGGGGAAACTGAGGCACCAGCTATCCCTGGGGTGACCAGCCTTGACCTAACCCAGAGGCTGCAAGTCTGGTGTTGCTTATGAGGGGCCAGGAAGAGTGGCAGGCAATTACATACAGGTGTAATACATTTATTTCCTATCAGAATCCTTTGGAGGTCTTCGAAGTAGGGCAAGCAAGTCCAAAAGTCAGGTCAGGGGACTATTTGGCAGTCCCCAGATTCTAGGATGGGTGGAGGGGGAGACATGGCAAGCCTTAAGTTGTTCTAAGGCCCTCTCCAGTGCTAATGGCTAGAATCACCCATCTTTGCAGTTCATGCCTTTGGTTGTATGCCCAGAGCTTAGCACTGTGTTGACCCACAGTAGGTGCTTAATAAAGGCTAGTGGGCTGACAGGACCAGAACTCTCAAAGAATCAAGTTCTTTTGGGAGATCTACTCTCTACCAATATTGCTTCCCAGTGGCCCATTACATTGCCAGAAATGGCACCTTTAGAGCTTTGGTGAAACAATCTCATAAAATCACTTTCTCAGCTTAAGTGCTCTCTCCCTCTGCTTTAGTGATTCTTTTGTGTATATCCTATTTTCACTTCTCCCCCAGACAGGCTGTATCCCCCAATGGAACATAAGCTTCCTGAGGGCAGAGAATGTTTCATTTTGAAAAATGTAAATCCCAAGGGTCTAGCTCACAACAGAGACTTGATGCTTGTTGAATGATCCACAAAACCTTTCCCCAGAGCTAACCCTAATTCCCAGAAGTGCCTCTTCCTGCCTTAATTTAAGTGACTTAAAGCTGATCATGTCCCAAGGAGGTCAGCCTGGCGGATGGCGAAAGACATCAATGTGAGGCTGTCTTCAGGCATTTGAAAACCCCAGATAGTGTAGAGGATTAATTTCTTCCTTTTGACCCTCAAGGGCAAAACCAGGATGAGCAATGTTGAAGAATTATTATTTAGTGGAAACTTAGAGCCCAGTCTGTTTATTATAATAGGATAGAAACCAGGTCTTCCAGACGTCAACAGGCTAAATGCCCTTTTGGGAAATGAACTCTACACACAGTACATGTCTGAGGTTAACAGGCTCACAGGGTTGAGAAGAGCGCATGCAGCCAAAGCCCTCCTTTTACAGAGAAACTGAAGCACCAGAGAGAAGGGACTGGCCCAAAAGGTCACACCATTTGGCAGCCAGGCTGAGAAGAGGCTGGATGATTGGGAGCAAAGGTCTGCTGGGAGATGCGGACCAGGCCCCAGATGGAGGTCAAGGGCCAGGCATTTTGCCATCACCCCTTTTTATGCAGCCTAACAAAGGAACTCTGTGTGTGTGCGCGTGTTGGAGCACTAGAACACACCCCACAGAATGGTCCCAACCCAGATAACCCAGAAATGGGGCCTGCTGCACTCCAGCAGCAATGCCACCCAACCTCTGCTTCAAACAAGCAAAGACAATGCTAAGCAGCATCAATTTACAGACACAGGAAAATGTTTAAATGTGATATTAAACAGATGAGATCAAAAACCAGTTACTTTTAAATATGTGATTTTAAACACCTGCAAGATTTCATTCCAAATTCAGAGTCTGATAATTACAAAAAAACCCATGTTTCAGGAAAACAAATTTAGCTTAACATAAAATTCATGTCACTTATCACAAAGTTAAGACAGTGTATAAAGCAGAAAAAACCAGAAATTGTATTTACAAATGTATATACCATGGGAGTCATTGCCAAGATTGCTCCTGTTAGCAGTGAACAACACAGCAGATGCTTTAATATATCACATTCTAAAATTACTGCAATGGTAAGGATTTTTTAATCTAAAATTAAATTGAAGGATGGATTGTCTTCAAGGGGAGAAAGACCACTTTAGTTCCCGGTAGCTGAAGTCAACCATGAAGGGTCCCTGGTGTCTCTGGTAGATATACATGGAAAGGGCCCTCTAAAATGGCTTCCCGGGCTAAAAAGGCCTAATTGCAAGTGTATTTCCTCTGTATACTACTTACAATATCAGGAAATGATAACCCGAGGACTGAAGATGGCAGCGGCTCTATAGATCTGCGCTTCTACCCTTTCTACTGCTGCTACATTTGCAATACTTGTATAAAAACAACCCTCCCACCTCCCCCCACACATACCCAGCTTCTGTAAATATTACAAATATGAAATACTTTAAACAAGGCAGTAATACCAGCCCCGCAGCTTGAAAACAAATTTCCCATTTGACAAAAGGAAAAAAAAAAAAAAAAGCCTTCCTTTCCCCTCCTCTGTCGTACAGAAAACACAAAAAACCCAAACCAACTCCTAAGATAAACGTCTGGTAGAAACCACAGCTTGGCCCACTGCTGGCTTGCTGCCTGGGAGATAGATGTGACTGAACAGCCCGTTATTTATTTACACTCTTCAGAAACACCCGGTGCTGGGGCTCAGGTGTGCCGAGGACAGTGGCTTGGTGCTGGAGAGTAGTTGACCAGTCTGGGCCCATCATAGTCATCAGAATCTGTGGAATCCTCGTCTTCATCTTCCTCAATCACAGAACATTCATCATGGCCAGTTTCCTTGGAACAGAATTACATGTTGAGTAGATAATCCTTTATTTCTCAGCCTTTTCATCATGCAGAAGACTTAAAGAAAGCTCCAACACAACCACACTTTTGACTGTACCCAGTAAGTGATGGTCCTGTTATTCTGGACACTACAAGATTAGCAGCGCTTTCTGAGTCATCACAGGTTGAAATATGGTCACAGACTCAGTCATAAAACTAAAAATCTAAAAACTGGCTGAAACTTGGTCATAACCTGACAGGTATGTAAGAGCACTGAAAGTGAAGTCCCCAACCATTCTGGACAAAGACGGGTTTTCAAATGGCAGCACAGTGAGCTGGACAATGGAGGGGCGCCATCCTTCCTAGCTGGAATTTGTAACTTCTGAAGGGAAGAGAGACAAGTCACATCACTCCATGAGCTTTAGTCTCTTCACCTTTAAAAGCAGGGGGATGGATGAATGCCCCTTCTAGTTCTAAAATATTATCCTGTGATTTAAAGGGTGTGGGGAATGAAACAAAACAAAAAAAACCTTTAGACAGGGCGACCTCTAGCGGTAGCTTTTATAAATGGCACTTGGGCTTAGCTCAGAAAATCCCTTAATAAAGCCGGTTTCCCCATCTCCTTCCTACCCACCTCCCCTCCTCCTCCAACCACTCTTGGACACATCTTTCAAGCTCTCCTGAGGATGGGATGGAAGGCTTGTTGGGTCAGCAGGTACTGCTCTTCCCGCAGAAAGGTGGATGTGAGTCTCTGAATAAGAGTGCGCTCAAATGAACATGCCCGAGAAGCAGGTAGGGCAGGTAGGCCACTCATTTCACAGCTGAGGAAACTAGAGCTCAGATGCTAACCTGTCCAACGGCTGTTTGTCAAAATGAGATTTTTTTTTTTAACTTGAAGGAGTTTAGTGGTTTTGAGTCTCGAGAAAAACTAACCTTCTTCCAATGCTCGCTTGCTTACCCTTGGGGTTGTGGAGACTTTGAAGGTGGGACACACCATGTGGAATCTGGGAATGGCCACGTTGAATATCCTGTCCTTGTAGTAAAGGAGATGAAAGGTATAATGTCCTTCCATATATCCTGATGTGGTGGAGAAGGTGGTACAGCTGGTGTACTCATACACCCGGCCAGGGCTGAGGATGGGAAACTCTCCTGTGGGAGAAACACAGGACACATCAACACATGTCCTTTGGGACAGGAGGCAAGGGACCAGATCTGTGATTTCATGGATTTATATGGGGAATTCCAAGTGAGGAAACTCCTTGAACCCTCCTCAACCAAAGCAGGTTGGCACCTGCCCTGTGACTGCCTTGAGACCTGAGACCTAAGTGTCAGAGGCTGGCTCCTGGGCTAGCTCCCTGTTTACCATACCAAGCTGCCGCCATGAAAAAGATGAAAAGAAGTTTGAAGTCACTAGAAGTTTACACTTTACTGTCTAGAGAGACAGTAGAGAAAAATTGAGAATTTAAGTTCTAAAAAGAAGGTTCTCCAGGAGGTCCAAGAATTTTTTTGCACCAAGATATGAAACAAACAGAGGCCTAGGGCACAAAAGTGAAAGTTAGGAATGACAAATCCTCTTCAATGCTCTACAGGGATGAACTGTCCTCCGAGTCTAAGGAAAAATCGGCACGCAGAGAGCATAACTATTCTAGACCTAGAAATTAATCAGGACACCCTTAGCTTTATCTTAATTTGTTCAACAGACTGATTATATAATCAGCCTATGGTTTTACCTGCCCACTAAGAAACCCCGGCCATAAAAAGGTTCCAGTACAAAATCCTGATCATTGACAACCAAACCCATCTGGCAATTAGGTTTGCCACTAATGGCCCAAAAAGGAGCAAAGAGAATAGATAACCCGAAAACTAAGGAATTCATCCTTAAATAATAGTCCAGGAGATAAGATAAGGAAACTCATCCATTACATTTCTGAAGATAACAATAGCCAAGACGGCTAATTACTATCCGTTTTCTCACAAAGTCTACAGACTGGCAGCCAACAAAGGCACCTGAATCTCTGGTTCCAATACGCACCCACCACTCCAGGTCCCTGAACCTCTTCGATTTCACCTTTGGCATTGGTGATTCTCCAATATCTGCTGTCTAACTGACAAGTCTTCTCAGGAAGAGCATCTTTAGACATCTCAATCCTAGAAAGTGAGAAAGACAAGCACTTAATTTTTATTTAAAAGCAGTTGTGGGGCCATCGCCAGTCACCCTGACCTATGTCTTTCACTGGACTCCAGAGGAGAGAATGAGGCTGATGACCGCACAGCTCTGCCTCACTTAAATCCAATTCATTTACAAGTCAAATTATCAACCTCCTGATGTCATTGGTCCTCTTCCAGAATGAAGAGCAAAAAACAATAAAAGGAATTGTATCCAGACTTGCAATATTTGGGGAACTTGTGGTATTTTTGAAGACCTCCAAGTCAAAACCCAGCTCATCTGCTTGGGTCACCTGCAATGAGATGAATGGGATCTTTCGAAAGCCTACATGGAGGATGCTTCAGAGCAACCATACATATAATACTGAAACACTAAAGACAGTCAGCAGGGACAGGTCTGATGTGTCCACTAGAAAAAAGCATTTCAAATACTTGAGAGTCAGGAAGGCCATCATGGGGCACATTTATAGTGGGTTCACTGGCATACGTGGGCAGTGAGTACACCAAACTCAAGAGTTAGAACACTTCCTAGTTGGGTTTGACTTACCTGTTATTCTCCACAACGATGGAGTTGCTAAGACACTGAGAAGTGATATGCCCAGGGTTATGAAGCCAGGATGTCAGAGGTGGGCTTCCTCATTCCAATCCCCACACTGCCCCCAGCCATTTGTTTAATTACAACAACAACAATAATAATTCAGACAAACATGGCAGCATATAGGAGAGAGAAGGTGGGAAGATCTGGGCTTGTGGCTTACTTACCTTCATTTATGCTGGCTGTGTGACTCTAGTAAAGTCACTCAGCCTCTCAGGACCCCAGGAAATTCTAAGAAGTTCAGTCAGAACAAAGATGAATTGGAAGAACAAGGACCTCGCCTGGAACCGGTGCCCCCCTCCCCCTGAAAAATGGTCAAAGCTGTCACCAAAAATTATCTGATAAAGCAGTACCCAAATCTGAGATGTAAGGTTTAACTGGCAATCTGAGACAGATGTAAAGTCCTTTGTGGACACCTCGGAGCAAATTTGTTCAGGTACCTTCTTGACCTTAGATAAGAAAATTAATTCATTTAATAAAAGCATTTATTAAATGCCTACTATGTAAAATGCATTATTAGTCACAGGGGACTGAGGCAGAAAGAAATCAAGCTTAGTCCCCATCTCCTAAGAAGCACACTCAATTGCATATATGATGGGTATGTATGTACAAAGATCTATTTTGCCTGAGAATGTGAGATACTATGAAAACTACCTCCAGAAATTGCCCCTTAAAATGTTTCGTTATACAATGTTTAAAAATGTTGAAAAATATGGTGAACCCACAGGAACTCCTAATGCTCACCTGATTCGATAAGTGAAGAAATAGTGAGGCGGATGAACAGAACTAAGTTCTGGGAGAAATGACGTGGACACGGAGACCGTGATGTCTCCTGTTGTCGCCACACATCCCTTGTCGTGAACATACCTGCATAACCAAGAAAGAGAGTTTTCTCTTTTGAATAACTGATTTCAGTTTTCTAAGATTAAAAAAAATAATACAAGAAAAGCTAGCATGTGGGAGGAAACATCCAGTGCTAAGCCTCAATTGCACCATAAAAATTAAAAATTAATTTTCTAATAGGGAGGTTTTTCCCCTGTGTTATCACATGGAACTCAGCAGTCAGACTTCATTTCCAAACAGGTGCTTGTCCATTTAATCTGTCTGACAGATCTGAGATTCACAGCAGTTTATATTTTACTAACATTTATAAAAGACAGTATCGTTAATGTGATTCTAGAACTTATAGTATGGGGTAAACAGAAGAAAAATATATATCTATACATACATGTCCCCATTCCCTCCTCCCCCCAAACTATACTGAATAATAACACTTTGATTTTCACAGTATTCAAGTGAAGTCAGTTACAGTTACGCCCTTCATTTTAGTAGTTCTTTAAAAAGTCTATAAAGGTACCAGTTGCTATTTATGATCAATAACTAGACAAATGTCCCTTTGCTGAGTAAAAACCAGAGTTACAACTCCTATTTCCTATGGTCCCAACGTGTCTGTGTCGCTTCAGTGAATTCCTATCAATGAGGGATACATCTTAGGGAAACAAGGAAGTCTTCAAAGATGCCACTTCAAAATAGGAAGATACCTGAAAATCTGGTCTCTGATGATAGGGTAGCCCCCTGTTACAACATTATGCACGTAAGAGGTAAACCATTCCGAATAAGAAGCACCTATAAGCCAAAAGAAATAGGAAAAAATGAAGGTTTTACAAAACCAGTTAAGTCTGTCCATAGATCAGTTCAATTGAATTCATCAACTCCATCAGTTAGACCCTATCTAGAAGACACAGGAGCAAAGCCTCATCTGGGTAGACTGGAATAATGCTGGCTCAGGAGTCACTGGACCGAGCTGGGTGTCCTTGGAAGAGTCCCTGCCCCTTCTGGACCTCATTCTTCAGCTGCAAAGAAGCTACTGGACCACAAAACATCCAAGTTTCCTTTTAGAGCTAAGTCCCATTAATTGCACTTCTCCTTCTTGAGCAGTATTTCACTCTAGGATTCAATCATTATTCCTTTGGGAAGTTGTTCCTCACTAAAATATCTTGGTAGTGGCACCAACAGAACCCATGGGGAGGGGAAGGGACAGAGAAGAACTGGTCTGGAAAGTGTGTAATAATTCAAACATAGCATAAAGTGAAAAGCACTTTATCCTTCTAGTTTGTGAGATTAAGGCAGATAAAATGGGAGCCAGGAGTGGGGTGGGAGCAGGAAAGCTGCTTCTTACAAGAGGAAGGATGGATCATCCCATCACAGCCTTGTGCATGGGACCCTCCCATTTATTCAGTATATACTTGTTTACACTGGCTTGTTGGGATCATTCTTTGGACTATTATTCCCGGCACTGGGCACAGCACCTGGCCCAGAGGAGGTACTTCGTCAATGCTAACCCAGGCAAGGACAGCAGCACCAAGGTCTTGGCATTGTTTTTGTATAGTGCACAGAAAGTCTGGGAGAATTCAAGCAAGTCCAGCCCTGGGTACCAGGGTTGTGGCAAATAGACTTGGAAATTTGCTTGGGAGCTTCCATAATGCCCCACTCAAAACTACATGGGGCTTCTCCAAAACTGGAAACACACAAGCAGCATTTCTTATGAAACTCCAGGATTTTCTAATACAGTGTAATCTTATGTTACACAGGACATGCCCAACTCACTTTATGCAAGATGAAACCCCCAGAGTCTATATAAATTAAATGTTGTCCAATCAAATACTTGACAGGTACTAAGGAAGCTTACTATTTTTTAAAAATACTTTTTATTTTTAGCATTCTTTTTTAAAAAATGGAATTCCAAGTTCTCTCCTTACCTTTCACCCCTTCCCCGTCCACTGAGAAGGCAAGCAATATATCATTTGTACATATGATATCACTACCTAAAGGAACCCATACCAATCGCATTGCTAACCCCATTCCCTTGATTTCTTCATATGGATTCTCAGAACAGCCATATGTATCAGGACCTGTCCAAGCGCTTCCCCTCAGGCTGCCCCAGCCCAGGCTAGCTTTGCCTTCTTCTCTGACCATGGAAGCTCCTTCCACTGACCCCTTCACTATGCTATCCTAAGGACAGCTGCAGCTATATTTCTCAGGCAACAACAGAAGCACCCTAATCCAAAGGTCTGCTTATAGCCCAGTGTACCTGCACTGAAGCGGTCTTTCATTTCTAAGATGACACAGCACCAAGGGAGACAAACCACATACCTGCTTGGAAAGTCAGTAGCCTTCTCAGAGCAGCAAAGGCCACGTGCTCAAAAAGAACACAACTCCCACTTCCTAGGGGATGCATAATTTAGAACCCAAAGTCCCTCTTCAGCAAAGTGAGAGGCAAAGGGGGGCCTGGACCCACCCTATACTGTGTAGTGTTAGAAAACATGAAAGCATGCAACTTCCTGTTCTCCATCAAACATTTACTATGCATCTACTATGTGCCAGGCACTGTGCTAAGTGCTAGGGATGCAAATAAAGGCAAAAGACAGCCTTTGCCTTCAAAAAGCGTGCACTCCAACCTCAGATCAGTAGAGAAAATGTTCCATCAAACAACTGAGGATGCAATATCCTTTTACTTTCAACTCATAAGAATGGGTACTGGCAGTACATTTTAAAAGGCAGCCTAGAGAATTAAGAGACTCCTCTTCTCTTGAGATAAGCCAAACAAGAACAACAGACAATCAGAGAAGTGAGCTCCACTTATCATATATCCCCTCCTTTCAGGGTCCAGGTAGGCTGGGCACACAATGGTGTTTGCCATTCTGATAACAGCCACATACAATTGAATGCCTCTGCGTGCAACAGCTGCTGTTACAGAAGTCCAAAAAGATATGTAAGAAAACCAACCTTAATGTGGCAAACAAAAAAATACAACAGGGCATAAGTCTATCAAAATTTACTATTATTCAGGCGTGTTCCATTGCAGATTCCAATCAGCAGGGCACAGCTCCAAAAACCAAACTAATTACTCTCCTGAAGCCATCCTAAACAGAGCAACATTCTACTAGGAGCTAAGCACAAATAGCTCTTTACTCACTTCTTTTTGGGGGTGGATAAGGACAGACACATGGACAGACACACAGACACACATACACTTTTCCTACCTGTAATAAACATATCAATTGCTGATGGATTCCGAGCCATCTGGTCCTAGATTAGAAAAGGTACATTGTTATTGATGAAATCAAATTTAACTTCATTTCTATATTCTTCCGTGGAACCAAGGGGTACCCAACCCTCCCTGAACTTCCCACCCCCTACCAAAAAAACAAAAACAAAACAAAAAGAAAACAACCTAAAACAAAAAAAACCCTCACTCAAAAACTAGCAACCTGGAGACATGGCTTTCATTGCCCAAATGTTAGAATATTCTGTTCTCACAAGCTCTACCTTGATCCAAGGATCCCATCGCGTTGGATGTAGAGTTATGCACTTTTTTTTTTAATAAAAACAACTAACTCGGAAGTTAAAGAGAAGGGACCCTGGATTGAAGACCAAGAGACCTTCCCAGCTATCCCACTAATTCCATGTGACCTTAAGGAAATCACTTCTCTTTGGGCCTCAATTTCCTCAACGGTCTAAAGAGATGTCTAGCTTTCTTATTTCAAAGGGGTGCTGTGAGGACAAAAAGAGGTAAGAGATGAAAACACTGAGGAAAAAAATGAAAAGCCACATAAAAGCTATCTATAAACAAGAGCTCACCATCATGGAGCATCTTAAGATTTTACAAAGACATACTTTGAACATTGGTATTACTATAAAAACCATGGCTCTTTTAAATATCCTAAATGTTTTATGGAGGCACATGTTCCAGAAAGCCAGGATATATTTTCTCTTTTTTTGATAGTCCCTGGTGAGGAATTCCTGGTAAGAAAATCCTTTCTTAGGGGCAGCTAGGTGGCACAGTGGATAGAGCACCAACCCTGGAGTCAGGAGGACCTGAGCTCAAATCCGACCTCAGACATATAACACTCACTAGCTGTGTGACTCTGGGCAAGTCACTTAACCCAGACTGCCACACACACACACACAAAAAAAGAAAGAAAACCCTTTCCTCCAAAGTTGAAATACCTGCTCAGCAAAATCTAGTCTGCATTGCCTGGGGCAGGTGAGGGGTTGTTACTGCTTCAGTCCTACAGCCAGAATGGGCCAGGGGCTCCAAGGTCACTCAGAGTGACTGAGCCATACTGCCTCTCATTTTTCATTTTAGTTTTTTATAATAAACATGGTTTTAGAGTTAAAAGCATATTGCAGTTATGAGGAAGGATTCTAAGACCTAATGGAGGCATTTAAAGGGAAAAATGGAAATCTACTACGAACCTTTGGGTAATTGATTTCTGCTCTTAATGTTTCACATTTGTAATTCAAAGTACGGGAAAATGTTTTTGTTTCAAGATTGTCACCCCTAGGGAGTGGTATAGATACAAAACAAAGACAAAAACACAACCTCCTGAAATACCAAACTTTAAAACAACTGTTACCTACAGAAAAAATAGTCAACAGCTGTGTCTTTAAGACAGTCAATGAAACACCTAAAATTATTTCAACAGGAAAAACTTGTCCAGATTCTTCAAGATATAAGAGATCTTACTAAAAACCTTCAGATTCCCTCCTCAAGCCTCCCTTTGGCACCCAGCACAGAGCACTTTGGCTGGCTTGGAATGGCCCCAGACTGAGCCCAACCCCAAGCCTTACACCTCGCACCTCTGCTTCAGACATGTGAAGAGCTACTTACGGGACACTGATAGAAGATCTCATACTTGTTGCGGCCTTCTACACTTTCCAAGGCCATATACTGACTCAGCCCAGTGTGTATGCAAAAAGTGAGAGGAAGACATTGCTTCAGGCCCTGCCTCTGCTGGAATCCACCGGCGGCCGTGTCAATGTCCAGCAAATCCTCAGAGCGGTAGTGATTGGAGAGGGCCATGCTTCCCATCAACCTTCAGGGTCAAAGAGGAAAATACAGCAGCTGTACCAGAGACCAGGGACATCCCCTCAGGGGCCCTTGAGTGGATTAGTAACATCTCCAAGGAGACTCAGGCTAGTTTCAGCCCAACCTGGGGCACAATGCTAGAAGATGAATGATGCTGCAATGTCTATTAATCCAAAGGATCCCTAAGCGGAGTTTGAATGCTCAAAGTCTGAATTACATGAAATAAATGTTTAATCCCATGAAGTACGTACTGTACGGAATCTAGTGTGATCTGCAATATTGTCAATGGGGATCCAAGTCTGCTGTCTTCAAAGGGCTTGAGAGTCCACCTGAAATCTTTTTTAAGTAGGATCATAGAAGATGGAAGGCCCAGAGAATGCTCCTACACTGGCCTTCATGTCCTGTTTCCTGGATGACCTATGGAAACCGTTCTAGCTCAAAATGGTTTCCTATTTAACTTGGCCTCTGAAATCTAGGGTGGGTCAGGTGAGGCCTCATAAGGCCTGCTGGTCCTGCATAGGCAGGAGGTAGTTCCTGACCCATGCAGTACAATCGCCTTGGTACTTCCCCCCTAAAAGGAGCTTCTGCTGTCTCTCTCTAGAGGTCTGACCGCACAGAGACCACAGCGAATTAGACAACTTATTAAATACACAGTGAGAGGGCAGGAACTGAGTCAGGGAGAACCAGGTTCTACTTAATTCTTCTCCGTGCCCCAAGGAATTCTTCAAGACTAAGCTGCAATTCCCCAAGACTTTCCCCAGAGTTACCCATGTCGATATAAACTCAAAAACCTAGTTTCATGCTGTATAAATGAAATATTTCAACGTTAAAAAAAGACTAAGCTGTAGAGTAAGTTGTTGGGAACCGAAATCACGAGTTAGAGCATGGTTTCCACTTCCATATTAAATATTCTGTCTTCATTAAAATATATTAATTTAATCAACATTTCTTAAATTCCTTAACTGAGAAGTGAGAGGCATTACAAGACTAAAATGAACCAAGGCTCTTGGATTTTATGTCTCCCAGTTTGTGTATACCCATCAAACTCAGCCCTGTTTCTCTCAAACCTGACACAGGGTCTTCATAATTCAAAACAAAAACAAAAAACACAAAGTCCCAGTTCACACAGGAGTTCTTTTAGAACTCAATTCATGAATTTCTTAATCTGCTAAACCATGGCCATGAACAGTTGGCTGAGATACACATGCCTATGTCTGTCTTCCATGGCAAAGACTTCCCATGGTCTAGAATTTAAAGGTCACCTGTTAACCCAAATTGATGATTCCTTAACCCTTTATCTTTAGTGAACTGAGTGCGGGAAAACTGGTGGGAGGTTCTCCAGCAGGTCCAAGAGCTACCCTGCTGCTGTTACATTTGGAGTTCTCAGGTATTTCCTGGGCTAGCTGTGGGAAGGCAAAGCTGGGCTGAAAGCAGGAGGTGAATGGGGACTCCCTTGTTCCAATTCAATCCAAATGAGCATTGAATTAGCCCTACTATGGGTACCTTATCAGACTGGGGAATAATTTTAGGGACTGACCCATGGTTCTACTGATAAAAAAAAAAAAACTATTTATTGGCTGAAGAACTGCTCAGTAACTGCTAATCTTAACAGCCTGCCTGGGGCACTGACCAGGGCATACTCCAGAGCCTGGTCAGAGGCCAGCTCCCTGTCCACTGGCTCCATGCTGCTGTTCCAGCAGGGATGGATACAAAAAGAGGCTCACTGAGAGGTTCGAGCCTAATAGGAAAATAGTTCTTTATAAATACAGGCTTTTAAGGTTTACATACAATCTACTTCACTGATATGATAATTAAAAGATGGCCAAATCCGCATTTACAACTGCGGATGAATGAATATTCGAATGACATGCCTCACACTCCTCCTCTCCCAGCCCTCACCAGAGATCTAGCCAAACCCTAAATATGGAACTTGTGTGACCGATGTTCCTGGGGACTGGCCTGTCCTTGGAGCTTCAAGCCCACAGAGGCATCCAGAAGGAGTGGGAAGGGCAGAATTAATTGCTAGAAGCCTATAAGATACAGGGAAGTGGGGAATGTAAATGCATTGGCAGGGAGTTTCACTTGTGAACATTTTAGTTTCAGCATCTTTCAAAGGATAAGAGGAATAATAAGAAAAAGGTTCAGGTCCAGAGAGAATCTCACCCAGGAACCACCAGCTTCTGCCCATTGTGGATCCGAAAAGAGCATCGATAGTCATTGGGAAGCTTGCACCCTATCTGTGCTTCCACAGCGTCCAGCTCTCGCTCCTCCACACTGTCTGCAAAGATAAGAAAGGGGGCACTTTAGAAGACCAGACCAGCACCAGAGAGCCAGAGGAAAAGCTCCAAGGACTCCCTAGATGATCTTGGCCTGTCACTGCAACAGAGACAAAACTTACGGAGAAATAACACAGATTTATAATGCAATTCAGGCTCTCCCTCAATGACAAAGAGCACCTTCCCTCTTAATTGCCATTTCTGTAACTGGGAAGCCTTTCCTGCTAAGCTCCACCTGCTTCAGCCCTCCCTCCCAACTTCCTGGTATTCTCTATTTATTCTATATATATTTGTATACATGTAGCCTCCCCTGTTAATAAAATGTAGGCTCTGTGAGAGCAAGGACTTCACTTTTGTCTTCATATTCCAGGTGACTAGGAAGCACAATGCCTGGCACACAGTGGGTGCTTAATAAATGTTTAATGACTGATCTCACTGATATTAAATAAAATAAAATTAGATAAAATAAATGTGGACACAAAAACAAAAATTTGTGACTGGATCTGTTTTCTCCTAAGTATCGGTTCTCCTACAATTAATAATGCATTTAAGTCATCTATCTGATCTTCAATTGATGGTCTGAGAGAAAGGAAGGGAAGGGAGGAAGCATTTCTAAAGCACTTACCAGGCACTGTGCTAAGCACTTTATACATCCTTTCATTTCCTGGGGCACTAAGAAGTTAAGAGACTTGCCACCAGGGTCCCATAATCACCACAGTGGGGCTCGAACCCAAGTATTCAAGTCCCAGCCTTCTACCATTACGCTGCTCAGAGTGTCCAATGACCTAAGTCCAATCCTTTCTCAAGCCCTTCTTAAGAAACAATTATTTTTAAATTACATTACAAATTGTGGAAGATAATTTTCCAACGCTCAATATACTCTTCCTTCCAAGTAAGCTTTCTTATTAAGAACTAAATACTGTTCAGAAACTTTTTAAATGGGTGTAATCCAACAGCCTCCATTAAGACTTCTCAGTGTGATATAAAGAGGCCAAGGGCGACAAATCTATGTGGGTGTCTTACACAGTAAGTCAAGGAGGACACTGTCAGGTTCAGCAGTGAAGAGTGCCTTCTAGACTGGAGCAAACAGGAAGTAATTCGAAGCCCCAAGACATGAACAAGGAAGAAGGTGGAGGTTTATTTAGAAACTCTTAACATAACAATCTCCCCCTTCCCCATTCCCAACTCAATAACACAGCGTGAATTAAGCTTTATTCCCCAAAGAATCAGACTGAATAGCTGGATGGGATAGGAAGCCAGAAAAGAGAAAATAATTAAATAAAAAAACAAAAAACAAAACCCCACCACCAAAGCAACCTAAAATTGTTCTCATAAAAGAAAAGACTGGACAGACAAGGAGAAAGCATAGCATTGGCAGACAGACCCTGGGGGTGGGGGAGGAGAACTAATAATGATAAGCTAACATTTATATAGCTCTTACTATGTGGGCCAGGCACTGTGCTAAGTGCTTTACAATTATCATTTGATCTTCCTAACATTAGAAAGTGGGTATTAGCCCCATTTTACAGATGAGGAAGCTGAGGCAGGAGTGAAGTGACTTGTCCAAGGTGACACAGCTAGATCCATGGGTGGATCTAAACTCAAGTCTTCCAGAGTGCAGGTACCACCTAACATGTTAAATGTAAGGTTTGAAGCTTGCTCTGTCTCAACTACAGACCTAATTTCTGTTGCTCTTTGTAGGTATATCAACATCATCAAACTCTTAATTTCAAAATACAAAAAAACTGTGACCAGCCCATTTGCATTTTGTCTACCAGTGGTAGACAGCTGGTGGGAAGATCACCCACCTGGCATTCTCAAAGCCCCCGTTTCTTCTCACCACTGGTGAGGGCAGAACCCCTCAATTGTTGGCATCTTTTAACAGAAGGAAGACTGAAAAAACACATCTTTGGTTTTTTGGTCTGGATCAGTGACTTAGTGTAGAGAATTTTGCATATTCCCTCTATAGCCATGGTTTTTCCCATTAGAATGGGAGCTACCAAAGGGCTGGGACCCTCTGGGCTTCTGGATTTGTATGCGAGAGACAAGTCTTCCATACACCCCTACTTTAAAACAAATACTCCTAAAGGGGGGAGGAGATCAAGTGAGAGTTGAACCTCTACAATGCAAATGCCTTAAGTTTGCCTTTCAGTTTTGATGTCTTTTGGATCACTCATCCAGGGAAGTCTACCGTCTATCACCAGCCTTCAGCACCTTCTCATCTGGTCCATGCCCATAAATCCTCTTATGTGCTTGCCCAGGCTCACACAAATATGACCCAGGTTTTCCTAACTCCAGCACTGGTCCTCTAACCATTAATTAATCAATAAACATTTATTAAGCACCTGTGCTAAGCACTGGTAGAGATGGTTCAAAGGTGAAAACAGGCTTTGGCAACAGCTTGGATGTAGCAGGTGAGGAGTCCAGGATGACTCCAAAGTTGAGGGCCTAAGGGGCTGGGAGCACTGTGGTGCTCTCTACAGCAATGGGGAAGGTATGAGTTGGGGAGGATTTAAGGGGAAAGAGAAGGAATTCTGTTTTGAACATGGTGAGTTCAAGACGTCTACTGGACATCCAGTTGAAGGTGTCTGAAAGGCAGCTGGAGATGTGGGACTGGAGGTCAGCAGAGAGGTTGGGTCAGCCTAGGTAGATCTGAGTCATCAGCCTAGAGCTGGCAGTATAGAGAGGGAGAAGAGGGCTCCAGAACAGAACCGGAGACACCTCCATTTACAGGGAGTGATCTAGAGGAGAAACCCGAAAAGGAGACCATGCCGTCTATGAAAATAGATCCATATATTTTTACATGTAACTTTTGTTCTGAATCAAACATAAGCAATTATTTTCTACTTAGTAATAATCTTTAAACATAACACATCAGCTTTTAAAATTCTTCCTAATAATGTTTCTCCCTTTACATACCAGTATTTTGGGAGAATTCACTCAATAATGGAGTTTCCTTTATAAACTCACTGTGGTTTGTCAATACCTTGGCGATTTTGTTAGAACTCCACATGGAAGCATGTACCAGTGTGTAATAAAAATTAAGAATTAATACTAGAGACCAAAATGTGGGCCTAAAGTCCTTGAATGAAGAAAAGTATTGTACTGGCATCCCAGAGGAAGAGCTGACAGAGGGGGAGTGTGTTTTTGTTCCCCTGAGGAAGGGAGGGGTCCCTTTTGTTTACCAAAGTCTAGACTGAAAGAAGGGTTAGTTTCATTGAGTAAATCAGCTACTCCCAAGTATAAGTCTTTGTTTAGCTATGCTAAAATCCCAACTAAGTATAACTCACACCTTTTTTCAAAGAGCCCAACCAGGAATTTCCTCCAGTTTCACAAAAAGGCCCGAGAAAGGCACCTGGGCAAAAGAGAAGGTCTTTATTTAGCAGAAGGAGCCTCTCAGCAATCAGAGAGATGTCAGTATATTTTATTATAATGGCTACAGTTTATATAGTGCCTCCAAGTGATTAATTACAAATAGCATCCGATTGATCCTCACAACCATCCTGGGAGGAAGGGCTACTATCCCCAGGTCACACAGCTAATAAGTGTCAGAGGATGGATTTGAATTTCCTACTCAGCGTCAGGATGAGAAGCAGACCCCAAAGAGAGATATGTTTCTATTGTATATAGGATCTAGTAGTCAAACACTTTTGGTTTACAGTCTCAATCTTCCTTTCTTTACTCAATATTACTTATCCATAACGGGGTGGTTCCCTCCCCCACCTCCCCCAAAAAAGTAACTACCTTGGACTGGTCATTTCCCCATTCTGGACCCTGGGGATTCCATCCCCATGTATCAGACGCTGTTCAATGATTGATTTTTGATCAATAAAGAAGCTAATTCTTCAGTCAGAAGAGCAACACTTAAGACCGGTTCCTGTTGGGGGGGAGGGGAGGCTGAATAACAAAGGCAGGTCTTCGATGATTTGTCCATGGTCACATGACTAGAACCAGTGAAGTTAGGTGCTGGGCTGGAGTCAGACCCATTCCTGCCTCAGAACACTTACTAGCTGTGGGACATTGGCCAAGTCACTTAACCTCTGCCTCAGTTTCTTCATTTGTAAAATGGGGATAATAGCCTGTACCTCCCAGGATTGTTTCCAGGGATCAAATGAGAAAACGGCAAAGTGCTTAGCACAGTGCCAGGCATAGGAGGTACTCAGATGGTGAGCTGAGCTTAGAGTCAGGATGATTCTTCATGAGTTCAAAGTGGGCCTCAGACACTTACTAGCTGAGTGACCCTGGGAAAGTCACTCAACCCTATTTGCCTCAGTTTCCTCATCTGTAAAATGAGCTGGAGAAGGAAACAGCAAACTACTCCAGTATCTTTGCCAAGAAAGCCCCAAACATTATCATATTTATTATATTGTTTATTATTATAATGTAATTATATCATAGGATTATTATTATAGGATCAAAGATCTAGAACTATACTAGCACTCTTAAGATGGATGATCCTTCCTTGCTGTCATTACTATTATTATTATTAGTGAGTGTTGGGGCTGGGACATGAATCCAAGTCTTCCAATATTTGGTGTTCTTTCCACTACAAAACATTCTAGGAACACTGAGAAATGCTGCCCTGAAGCTAGGGGATGGGATCCCAGTGCCCTCTGTCATGGGGATCCTGGGGCCAGGCCACCTCTTGCTTCTGATGTTATCTACCTCTTCCTGCAGGCTCAGATGACTGACATCTCTCAGGCCAGGAGGGAAGGGTTCTCACATCACCTCTTAAGATACCTCAGTTCCTTTACTAGAAACCCTTACCTGCTAGGTTGTTCCCATTACCAGCATACTGCTCCCAGGCCCTGAGTACCAATTACGTTCTGAATGACTTTCCCTTTGGTCTATGACCCCAAATCCCAAATGATTATTATATAGCTCATTTCTTCTATGGCATTAATAATAATGAGTAGTCTCCTCTAGAACCTGGCTCTTCTGGTCTACTCCATTCCTTCCTCAGCCTTCTAAGCAATTAATTTTTATGCCCCTGTTCACACCATCATTCATTATGAAAGAAACCTTTTTGCCCAGCAGCAACCGAATGACCTGCTTAACCAGAGGGAACAGTGACAGAACAGAATGTGGTCCAGATGAGAAGAGAGGGAGCAGTAGCTTAGCTTAAGAAAACCAAAACAAATGTCCAGCCTTTCAATGGAATTATTTATGATGTTCTGGAATACAAGAATAATCACCTCACCTAAAACTACAAAGTTTCATCAGCAAGAACTGAAAAACCTAATCAATCTAAAACCCACTTATCTAAATTCATACTTGTCTAAATTTTCTGGTGTATAAGGAGCAAAGGCATGTTCATTTTGTATTTATTATCCACCCAAAGTTAAGTTTGGCAGGCAAGGCCTTTTCTCTATTCAGCAGCAAGGAAATAATTTGAAGGCTTTTAAGGAAGCAATTCTGTTTAAAGTTCCAATTAAAATTCTGTTAAAGATCCCCCTAGTATCTAAGATGCTTTAGAGTGTAAAAAAAAAAAACAAAGGAGCTTCTACATTAAGGGATGGAAATCTATCAGTCCCCTACCGCCAGCTTCTTTCTCTCACCTTTTAGGCAGAGTGTACATGCCACCCACCCCTTAGGCCAGCATCAGTCACTAAGCCTTGAGACATTCAGTCACTACCTAGTGGGGGCAGCATAGGCTCATGATAAACTTTCTCTTCTACCAGACTAGGCTGTGGGGCTTTATAGGAGGAATTAGAAGTCAAGCAAGTTTTCATATTTGTTTTGTTTTTGTTTAGTGCTCTATCCACTGTGCCCCGAGCTGCTGCAAAAGGTTCTACATGGGTCATTTAAAAAGATGAAAGGATATATTTTATGGCCACCTTCCTTTTATCTATGTCAAAATCATTTTTTAGGAGAACCACCAGGTTTGGTCACTGAGCTTTGTGTTCTCCTGAGAATAAAATCTTCAAGTCACTGGGCAATGAGCCACCTGCTCTTCAAGTTGGAAGAATGAGAAGCATTTCAAATGATGTTGTGAAGCATGAAATGACTTTGGACATCATTTGACAAAAGCAAGATGGCTCACCGGGATGGGGAGTCGGGAAGACTTGAATGGGAACACTCCCCCAGATACTGACCTGCCTCAAGTTCTCTCATCCACAAAAAACGGGGGGGTGGGGAGGGATGTAGTAACGGTCAAATGGGGTTTATGCTAGGTACTTTGTATGCCTGGAAGCGCCATAGAATTGCTAGCTCTTGGGGCAGCTAGGTGGTGCTATAGATAGAGCTCCAGCCTTGGAGTCAGGAGGACCTGAGTTCAAATCTGGCCTCAAGACACTTGACATTTACTAGCTGTGTGACCCTGGGCAAGTCACTTAACGCCAACTGCCTCAGCAAAAAACAAAAACAAACCCAAACAAACAGAATTGCTAGCTCTTATGGAGCTGTACTTATCAAAGTCTTGTTATTATATAAAGGAGGCAGTTTTTGTATTGGAGGGAGTAAGGGAGTCCAAACTCCACTGAATTTGTATTTAGAAGATCTGCTCTACCATTGGCTAGCTATGTGACCTTAGGCAGATCACACAAACTTCCCTCATCTGTATAATGGGATGAGATGTTCTGCCTTTTAGGCCATTACTGTTATTATTTTAACAAGCACTTCTACTTTCTAGTCTCCTGGTACAGGATTATTGCTTATTCTATACAAAAAAAAAAACCCCAACAAAACCCCAGCTTTGCCACGTCAAGATGCCAAAGTTAGAGTTAGAATGCAGGGTGTGTCCTTTTCATAGAAATATCAGCTTCCTATTTAACTGACTCAAGTCAAAACTGAATGTTAAGCATACTATGGGTTTATGAACACTGGGCATTTTTCAAATTAATCTCTGGTGGATCCCAGAGCTGGGCACACATCCCAAACCTAGAAAGGTTCCATATTCCCCAAAATATTCACAGCAGCACTTTTGGAAGGGGACAGGCAGGGAAGGGATAGCAAGAAGCTACAAGCAAACTGAGGCCCCCTGTACACTGTGGGACAGGAATATAATGGAATATTGTTCAACTATAAGAATCAATGAATGAGGAATTCAGAAAGAGAGACTTGTGTGGAACGCAGCAGAGTCAAGAAAGCAGAACCAGGACAACAACATATACCACTACAATGGTACAAACAAAAAGAATATCGGAATGAAAAGCCCCAGGGAAAAGCACCTCTCTACAGTCTTGGACAAGGTGGTGGACTATGGGGATGAAATAGTGCATTCCCTATGAATGAGGAAAGAATGTGATATAAAAGAGCATAAAAAATAAAACTTTTTAAAAGGTTAGCCTCTAACATTAAAAAAGATGAATAGAAACATTTACAACACCTTTCCCCAACTCATAAATGGTCAAAGGATATGAACAGGCAGTTCTCAGATGAAGAAATTAAAGCTATCTATGAAAAAAATTACATGAAAAAATGCTCTAAATCACTACTGACTAGAGAAATGCAAATCAAAACTCTGAGATACCACCTCACACCTATCAGATTGGCCAACATGACAAAATAGGAAAATGATAAATGTTGGAGATGATGTGTAAAATTGTAATACTAATGCATTGTTGGTGGAGCTGTGGACTGATTCAACCATTTTGGAGAGCAATTTGGAACTATGCCCAAAGGGCTATAAAAATGTGTATACCCTTTGACCCAGCAATACCACTTCTAGGGCTGTACCCCAAAGAGATCATTAAAATAGGAAAAAAACCCACACATACAAAATATTTATAGCACCTCTTTCTGTGGTGGCAAAGAATTGGAAATTGAGGAAATGTCCATCAATTGGGGAATGGCTGAAGAAGTTGTGGTATATGAATGTAATGGAATACTGTTGTGCTATAAGAAATGATGAAGAGGCTGACTTCAGAAAAACTTGGAAAGACTTGTATGGTCTGATGCTGACTGAAGTGAGCAGAACCAGGAGAACTTTGTACACAGTAACAGCCACGTTGTGCTATGACTAATATTGGTAGACTTAACCCTTCTCAGCAATGCAAGGATCTAAGAAATCTTCAAAGGTCCATGAAGAACCTATATCAGATTGTGAGCCGTCTTGGGGAGGAAAATGAGGAGGGAGGAGGAAAGATTTTAAAACTCAAAAAGCTTATAGAAGCCATTGTTGAAAACTAAAAAAAAAAAAAACCAAACTTTTACAACACCTTTCAGAGATCCGATCATCCTTGGACACCTCTGTCCCAAGTATCTCTCCAGGTCATCCCAGGCTTTTTTAAGAGTAGCATAATGTTGAATATATCTTCCCAGATCAATATAAGTGTCCTTGAAGAGAGTTTTCCAACTTTTGTTCTTCTGCGTTTTTTCTGCCCTAAATAGAAAAGAACAAGCATTTGAGAATCCTATGAAATATCATGAGCACATACTGACACCTACCTGGATGTTTTATTTAGGCTCATATGGGGTTGCTTTAACTTCTGTAAAGTGTTTTTTTTCAATTGGAATGCTACAGATTAAATAATGAATAATATGAAATTCAATAACAGATTAAATAATACATCAGGTTAAAAACAAATTATTCAAAATGCCTTCTCATTTTTAGTCACAAGTCAGAGGGGAAAGAATGTAGGAGATAAACACGCAAAACAGTGATATGTTATGACATCAATGATGGGTAAGATGGCAAAAAAAAAAAAGCATTTGGGTCAAGCTTTGAAATCTATGGTGAATACATTCCTCACTGAGGAAATTACAAGGGAAGTTAGCCTGAGGATCTTAAACCATCAAAACCTACAAATACCTTTATTATGATGAGTGTTTCCTAGGGATAAACTTTTCTCAATCTTACTAAATAGAACAGACACTAGGGTAATCTAAAGTATATTGTGGCTAGGTGGTAGAGACCTGCAATCAGAAAGAGGCCTGGGTTCAAATCCTGGCTCAGATACTTACGAGCTCCCCCTCAGTCTGTTTCCTCCCCTGGAAAACACGGGGAATGGCCTTTGGTGGCCTCTTAAGGTCCTTTTTTCTAGTCCTACATCTATGATCCTTAGACTGTAGGTAGGCAAAGAATCAGGCATGGTCGATAGGATGTCACATTTGCCTCTCCACCAGCTGCAAAGTGGCTGAGGTTTTCTGGTTACTTTTTATCATTTCTCTTTCCTACATACTTACTCTGACAAAAGCCAGTATTTCTTGCAATGTCTTCTCCAGAGAGGATCATGGTTTGATAGCTGGTTTAATCGTCGGCTAACACAGCTACAGCTGCAACATAAATCAGTATTGTGATTAGTTGTGTGAAACTGCCCACAGGAGAACAGGGGAACAAAGGGTTAAAAGTAAGCTGCATGTGTTAAGTAGTAGAATTACCTGTAGAGCAATGAATGAGGGTTCTCCCCCCCCATATTAATAAACTGAAACCTGCAATGTAATTTAAACCAGGACAGGTCTACAAGACCTAACCTTTGTGCTTGCCTTTCCGGCAAGAACCTTTCCTCCATTCGTGATGGAGAGGATCTCAATTCTATGTAAAAACACAGTTAAGGCCAGGTTTAAGCAAAATATTTTTGTGCAGCTCTCTGCTAGAATCCTCTGCCAGTCAAGGGCCGTGGGCAATCTTGGTACATTTATATCATGGTCTAATTTTACCTTAAATTAAAAAAAAAATGATACAGTCAAAAAACCCAAATTGACTATAGTAATTATTCTAACAGTCCAACATGTGGCCAAATTCATGACAGTCTTCATGGGTATCCATCTACAAGTTTCAGTGTTGCTTAAATGCAACAAGATTTTAATATTCCATATATTCATTATGAATTTCTAACAGACCTCAAAGCTCTCCACAACTAATTTGGCCAAAAAAAAAAAAAAAAAAAAAGCTCTGAATTAGAAAGAGGTGCTCCAAAATTCTTCTGGAGCAATACCTAAGCTGAAGAAGGCTGGAGGAAATGTGGTTTGTGGTCCCATGTAGGAGGAGCGCAATAACAATAATACATAGCAAGATGGGCTTTATTTTATTTTTCTTCTATTTACATTGTATGTGATATCTTAGGCACTTTGTCATGGAAATGACTTTTGGCTTTGGAGTGAGCTAAATCTAGGCCTCCAGTAATGGCTCCCTGTATGAACACAGTCCAGTTAATTCAACCTCTCTGGGCCTATCAGAAGTTAAGATTTCCAGTTCCAAATCTTATCAGGAATCAGACAAAGCAGATAAGACAGAGGTCTAGCCTTCAAGAAGCTTATATTCACATACACCAAAAAATACAAGAGGACCCTGTGGTCAGGAGTTTGGGGGAGGGGGCTGATGGCCAAGAAAGGTATATAAGGCTCTAGCCTGAAATTTCCCTCCATTTCCCTCCAATTCCCCCCATGGCCCAGCACCAGAGACCAAGTCCAGGAGGACTTTCCCTCCTGGTGGCCTGACCTCTTTCCAGATTGTAACTGCCTCTCCCAGAAAAGGGAAAGCCCTAACTATGCCTCACACCACCTCCTCCTCTTGGAATCCTTTTGTTCTCCTCCACCCTCCTTTGGTTTTAGAAACAGGATTAAATCTAATTTAGCAGGGATCCTGGATGACGAGGAAGGCACTCCTTAATAACAGTGGCTGGCATTTACGGTTGGTAAAGCAATTTACATAGGTTGACCCATTTGGTCCTGGATGAAGACCATGATGCAGTAAGCTTTTTCTCTCTTGGTCGATAGTAAGCACTAAATGAGCGCTTGCTGATTGACCAAACAAAAAAAGCAGTGAAGAAGGGGCAGCCATCATCCCCTGTGAAGGGGAGGTAAGTGCACATAGTATCACCATTTTACAGATGAGGAAAGCAGGCTCATAGGAGGACAAGGGACTTCGGAGTAGCTGGCAAAGCCAGATTGAACCCAGGTCTTCGGGAGTCCATATGTAACAGCGCATTTTTAACAGGAGGTTCGGATGAGCTGATAAATTTCAAGAGGCCTAGGTGGGTTGCGAGCCCTCCTGGGAGCTCTCCAGGGTACGCGTCCCTACAGGGCGCTATCTGGGGCAGCCTCCCAGGACCAAGGTCATGTCTAACTGTACAAACAGAGACCCAGCTCAAGTCCGGCAGATACAGGAGGACACTGTGGCCCAGAGATGAGGCCAAGGTCAGGGAGGCAGGCTTTCCACCAGATCCTCTGCGGGGGTGATGGCAAGAGGGCACCGTTGGAAGCTTGGGCCGGGCTACCTCCCATGTGAGGGAGCACAGAGCTGGCCCCTGACTTCTCCAGGGCAGGCCCTGGGGGTCCTGGATAATGGGGGGCTGCTGATGGGGGGGACAGCTGCCACCACCAAAGGCAGTAAGGAGGGGGGAGGGGAGGGGGTCTGCTACCGTTCGGGGGGGGCTGTCGCGGCGAAAACCCAGCCCTGGGTGACCGCGGGGCGCGAAGGCCAAACGGATCAATGTCTCCGGAGGGGCCCTGCGCACACTGACCAGCGGCGGGGTCCCTGGACGGGGGGCTACGGGGGCTGGGCTCCGATGCCAGCTTCGGGGCCTCAGTGTCCTCATCTGCAAAATGGGGGCGTCGGACTGTCTAGCCCCTAAGATCCCTGCGTCCCGCCGTGTCTACAGGGCCACGATCGCCGCAGGCCGGAGCCTGGGCCGGGGTCTCGCAGGCCCCGCCCCACCACGCCCCGCCTGGACCCGCGGCCCGGCCAGCCCCGGGGCTGCGCCGCACCCCCCACCCCCGCCCCCGCCCCCAGCCCGGGCCCCGCATCCCGGGGGGACGCGGCTCGGCGCAGGCCTGGGCCTCGGCGGGGGATGGGCAGGCTGCGCCTCGGCCCCCTCCCCCCGGCCGGGCCGCCCCCGGGCCCCCCTCACCTAATGAGGTCCTGATAGTCCAGGAAGGAGAAGATGAGCAGCAGGGGGTCGGTGGGCAGCAGCTCCAGGCACAGCTCCGGCTCCTCCGCCCCCAGCGCAGCTGCTGCCGCCGCCGCCATCTTGCCAGGCCCCGGCTGCGGACACACGCCCCGCCCCGGGCACGCCCCGGCCACGCCCTCACGCCCCGGGGCGGGCGGGGGAAGGGCCCAGAGGTGGCCAGGAGCCCCGAGCTCGGAGCTGGGGCGCTTCCGAAGGCGCCTCCGGGCGAGGAAACCGTACATCGTGGGGGGCCGGGGGTGCGAGGAGCGAAGGACTGGGGCCCCCCGGACTGAGGAGGAGGAGGAGGAGGGAGGGGGAGCAGGAGTCAGACGGGGCGGACCCGGGCTGACCACAGCGAGGAGGAGGGACGGGGTGGGGTGGACCCGGACCGACCACAGCGAGGAGGAGGGACGGGGGACAGGAGTCAGACGGGGCGGACCCGGGCTGACCACAGCGGGGAGGAGGGACGGGGGACAGGAGTCAGACGGGGAGGACTCGGGCTGACCACAGCGGGGGACGGAAGAAAGGAACAGGGGAGAAAGAGACAGGAGAAACAGGGGCTGGCTTGAAAAAGAAGATCCCAGCTCAGGAGGAGGAAGACAGAGAGGCGAGGTAGCCGAGGATCCCCGAGATTGCCCCGAAGCAGGGAGAGAGCTCGCAACTCTCTCTCAACTCTGCTACGGGAATAGTTCATCCGACGGCGCTTCCAAAATTTATGGAGGAGGAGGAGGAGGGGGAGAAGCCACTCGCCCCGCCCTGCCCACGCCCATCTTCCCCAGCCCACCCCCTACTCAATCTAGGGAGGAGATTTCCACCTCCCCGCCCCCGGTACTGGCCTGCAATTCTCCGGCTGGTTGGGAGCAGTATGTTGGACAGCTCTTCCGTGGCTTGGCTGCTTGGTCTCCCACCCTTTGCTAAACTACTGCCCCAAAAGTCTAAATCCAGGGTCTTGATTCTGTCTCTCCCCCATCCTCTTCTTAGCCTCACCCCCTCATATCTCTTGTTGGATCTCCGCCCCCCACCCCCTCACCTCTCCACATTTCTTCCTAGCAATTCAACTCAACCAGTTCGCTGCGCTTTGCTGTTGAAAAAGGAAGCGATCTCTGCCCTCAGGGAACTTACGGTCTGCTGGGGGAAATGCCCTTCGGAAATCTTCTCCAGCTTGCTCTCCTTTCAGCCACTACTCTTATTATATTATATATTATTGTACTTCCATGACTTATTGCTTCTTATACCCCAACCCATCTCCTCCAGATCTTTTTATACGTTGTTTCCATAGATAGAAGGGACTGTGTTCTATTTTTGAATCTCTAGCACAGTGCCCGGCACATAGAGATTGTGTAATTAATGCTCGTTGATCTGATTGTCCTAAAACATTCTCCAACCACATCCATTCTCAGGCACTGTCCCCAGATTTCTTCAGCTTACCTAGTCCCTTCTCAGTCCTGTCCCCAAATTTCTCTATCATCCCTGAATTGAACCCCTTTCTAGAGAAGTCTTAGTCCTGTTCTCAGATATCCTCTCTCCCTACTTCTATTCTTGGTCCTGTCTCCAAATATCCTCTTGCCCCATCTCCTCCTGACCCTTGTCTCAGCCTGTGTCCCAGGAGTTCCCAACTGCTGATTCTGGCTGCCCACAGGCCCAAGCCAAAGTCCCACTGATTTCTGCTTCTGCACCAAACCTGTTTTCACTTTTCTCAATTTATGTCACACTTAAAAAAAAAGAAAAGAAAAGAAAACTAGGCTAATGTGAAAGCCACTTTAAATCTGAGCCCTGAACAAAATCAGTTTGTGAGAAGCCCAGACTTCTGAGAGAGAAGGGAAGACTCAAACAATGAAGGGAAAGTGATTTTTCCCACAACAAACATTCCCAGAATCTCCAGCTTGGTAGAGACTTGCCCTTTGGGCTAGAAGAATATAAAAGCCGGTTTTAAGACTGGGAGTTCCAGAGACTTTGGGAACCAACCACCTTGTAGAAAGAAACCCTTTACCCTCATTTTTAAAATATAGAGAGAACTGAGTCAAATGTGTTAGAATACAAGTCATTCTCCAACTGATAAATGGTCAAAAGATATGAACAAACAGTTTTCAGAAATTAGAGCTATCAAGGATCTAAGACATCTCCAAAAGTCTCATGATAGAAAATGCTATCAACATCCAAAGAAAGAATTACGGAGTTTGAATGCAGATCAAAGCATACTATTTGCTCTTTTTTTTCCTTCTGTTTTGTTTTTGTTTTCTCTTTCTTGTGGTTCCTCCTAATGGTTGTAATTCTTCATTACAACATGACTAATGTGACAATATGTTTAAGAGGAATGTATATGTTTAGCCTACATCAGATTGTGCACCATCTTGGGGAGGGAGGGGGAGAAAAATTTAAAACTCAAAAGCTTATGGAAGTGATTGTTGATAACTCAAAATAAATTAATAAAAAAATTTTTAAAACTAAAAAAAATTAAAGCTAACTACAGTCATATGAAAAAATGCTCTAACTCACCATCGATTAGAGAAATGCAAATTAAAAGAACTCTGAGGTATCACCTCACACCTATCAGATTCGCTAATGTGACAAAAAAGAAAAAGAAAAATTATAAATGTTGGAAAAAATGTGAGAAAATTGGAACACTAATGCATTGTTGGTGGAGTTGTGAACTGATCCAACCATTCTGGAGAGTAATTTGGAATTATGCCCAACGGGCTGTAAAGCTATGCATATGTTTTGATCCAGCAATACTACTACTAGGTCTGTATCCTAAAGAGATTATAAAAGAAGGGAAAGGACCCACCTGTACAAAAATATTTATAGCAGTTCTTTTTGTGGTGGCAAAGAATTGGAAACTGAGGAGATGCACATTGATTGGAGGATGGCTGAATAAGTTGTGGTATATGAATGTAATGGAATGCTATCGTGCCATAAGAAATGAAGAACAGGTAGATTTCAGAAAAACCTGGACTTACGTGAACTGATGCTGAATGAAATGAGCAGAACCAGGAAAATGTTGTACATAATAAGAACAACATTGTGTGATGGCTAACTATGATAGACAGCTCTTCTCAGCAATACAATGATCTAAGGCAATTCCAAAAGACTCATGATGGAAAACGCTATCTACATCCAGAGAAAGAATATGGAGTCTGAATGCAGAGCAAAGCATACTATTTTCTCTCTTTTTTTTTCTTTCTCATGGTTTTTGCCTTTTGTTCTGATTCTTCTTTCACAACATGACTAATGTGGGAATATGTTTAATATGATTGTACATGTATAGCCTTTATCAGATTGCTTGCTGTTTTGGGGAGGAGGGGAGGGAGAAAAAAATTTGGAACTCAAAATCTTATAAAAGTGAATTTTGAAAACTATCTTTACATGTAATTGGAAAAAAATAAAATACTATTAAGTGGGAAGAAATAACATCAAATTAACAAAAAAGAAAGAAAGAAAGAAAGAAAGAAAGAAAGAAAGAAAGAAAGAAAGAAAGAAAGAAAGAAAGAAAGAAAGAAAGAAAGAAAGAAAGAAAGAAAGAAAGAAAGAAAGGAAGAAAGAAAGGAAGAAAGAAAGGAAGAAAGAAAGAAGGCCTTTAACTTTGTTGCTAGTGGGTTTTGTCCATTTTGATCTTCCTAAACTGCTTTTACTGGGGAACTGTCTAGTCAAAGGACTTTTTATTTGAACACTTGGACACACAAGGGGACAGAAATCCAATGGTTTCCCTCGTAAGTTACCACAAAACTTCACATAATGCAAACATTGATGGTTTAATGATCTTAAATACCACATCTTGGCCAAGGTCATCCCCATTGGGTGCAGAGAGCCATTGAGGGGAAGAGGTTCAAGAGATGAGCAGTAAATTTTAATCATCACCATCGAAACTTTTCCATTAAAGTTTATATATACAATTACTAACATATATTAGTTTTTATATATTTATATATCATATATGATTTTATGTGTATGTATATGTGTATATATACATGTGTGTGTGTGTGTGTGTTTCTTGCAGAGGAGAACCTGTGATTTCATTGCTATGGGGATTTCCCAGATGTAGAAACTCCCTCTTCAATACAGGTTTGCATCTATTTTTCAATTTCAAATCTTGGAGAGCTGCCTAGAGCACTGGCTGTCAGATAGTGACAGCCTTCCTTTTTGAAAAGGAAGCCATTAAACCCAATAGAAGGATCCCTGCTGGCCCACGATGACATACAAAACCACAAATTAACTTTAGGTGCTATTGTATTTTTATTTGTTTTGTTAAATATTTCCCAATTACATTTTAATCTGGTTCTGATTGGCACTCTGGAGTGTGCAAGTGTTTAAACACCTCTGACCTAGATGGAGGAGAGGTCAAATGATTTGCCCAGGATTTGCACAAGATGGGATATGAGGCTTGATCTTCAAGGCTCTGAGACTGGCTCTATCCACTACCCCATGCTGCCAAATAGTTCAGCAAAGAGAGAAAAATGCAGAACTGCCACATATAGACTGATGATGGTGGTGATTTAAATTTGCTTCTAGTTTTCTATCAGGTAAAAACCTCACAGGGCAAATATTTTCGATAGCTTTGGCTTGTCCTGGGATCATAGATTTAAAAGAACGCCTTTGAATCTGAGTCCAACTCCCTTATTTTGTTGTTGTTCAGTTATGTCTATACAGATACAGATATATATTATGTATATATAGATATATATATATATATACACATATATGCATATTTGTTGTTATTGATGGTGTTGGTTCAGTCCTTTCAGTCATGTTCAACTCTTTATGACCCCATTTGGGGTTTTCTTGGCAAAGATATTGGAATGGTTTGTCATTTCCTTCTCCTACTCATTTTACAAATCAGGAAACTGAGGCAAACAGGGTTAAGTGACTTGCCCAGAGTCACATAACTATTAAGCATCTGAGGCCAGATTTGAACTCAGATCTTCCTGACTCCAGGCCCAGCATTCTATCCACTGTACCACTTAGCTGCCCTTATTTTACAGGTGAGGAAACTGAGGCCCAGAGAAGTTAGAAGACTTGCCCAAGGAGCTAGTGAATATCTGAGAGGGTCTTTGAACCCAGGTCTTTCCTGTTCCAAGTCCAGCCCT